ATTAGTAAGAGGGAGGTGAAGAAGAGGAAGAAGATGTAGATTCAAAAGAAACAGATGAGGACGAGCGTTATATTGAATAGGGAGATGACTCTGATGATGATGGCCTCGATTCTGATGCATATGATGAAGCTTTTATCCTATTTCTTCTTCTTTTTCTTGTTCTGATGATGGCTGAAGAGTGAAGGCTCTTGGTGTTGAGTGTTGACTTTTGACTGATGTGTTGACTATTGAGTGTTGACTATTGTGTCCTAGACTATATATTTTCTGAATTTCTGTATACTTTCTTTTTCTTATTTGGTTTCTAGTTTCTAATTCTACTATCTAACCTTTGTGTGTACAGTCTACAATGTATCAGACTATCAATGTATTCTTGTATGATTTTACTGTTTTAGCATTATATGAAAATATGAATTATAGTCTTCTGGATTATCAAAATTCTCTTTTCGACTTCTATCTTTTTTTTTGAATTGGGATTATGACCATACCCTCAGTCTCACCATGAGTCCCTCTACCCTGGGCCAGAACATGAGCCGCCCAGGTTCTAGGTGCCCGCCTAGGCGGCCGCCTAGCGCTTTTTGAAACACTGTAAGTAGGGTAACACGAAATGATGCTTCCATATCTACAATCCAATCAAAGTTGCATGAAGTTGATGTAATACTAATGTACCTATGACCATAGTTTCTGACCACACCAACATCTATGGTCACTGCAGTGATTCCCTGCCATCATTTTTTGCACTATCCTCATTTTGCTCTTTTTGAGCCTTCTACACTCATTCTTTATATTCACATTCTTGCGACAATGAAAACATGTGACCCATTTTTTCGTCTTCGATCTAGCTTTATCCTTGGGCCAGTTAGATAGATTTTGGTCTCTAATAGATTTTAGTCCCTATTCCTCGACCTTCATTGAATTGTGACAATGTCGGAGGTTTTTCTTCTTGTCTCCCTGTTCAACAAGCAACTAGTGACTTGATTCATTCACTTTCCCCTCAATGCTGAGTCGCTTACAGAGATCACCAAGGTCTCCGAACTGTTCGGCAATGAAATGAGCAACAAAAGAGCATATAACTCATCTTCTCAAGACATCATTATTGCGAGTTGGTTAACAAAACTGTATACCTCATTCAAGTGCTCTGCAACAAAACCCCCATCCCTAAAGTTCAAGTTCACCAACTTCTGGATCAAGAATACCTTATTCCCAGTGGCCTTTCTCTCGTACATGTCATGTTGCTTATTCCACAATGACTTGAATGTCTATCGACACATGGTGAAATACACCTTCATCCAACCATTGCGTGATGGTTCTGAGAACCTTTCGGTCTTCTACTTATCATTGGTCATACTTTCGAGCATGTGTTCTACACCTGCAACATGTGTATACAAGTCCTTGTAATATAAACGATCTTCCATCTTCAGCTTCCAAATGAACCTATTATTACCGTTGAACAGTGTTTCAGAAAGCGCTAGGCGGCACCGAGGTGGCCATGGGTGTCCAGGCTGCCCAGCGCCTAGGCGAGCGCCCAGAACCTAGGCGGCCCAGTTGAAAAAAAAAGAAAAGAAAAAAAAAAAAGAAAGAAAAGAAGATGACTAATAATGATTAATCCATAAGAAATTTGATAATCCATAAGACCATGATCCCAGTTAAAAAAGAAGAAAATAGAAGTCGGGAAAATAATTTTGAATTTTTGATAATCCATATTTTCATACAATGCTAAAACAATAAAACCATATAAGCATACACTTATAGTTTGATACACTATAGATTATACACACATAAATTAGATAGTAGAAGTAGAACTAGAAACTAGAAAGTAAACATGAAAAATAAGAAAGAGAAAATATACAGAAAGTCAGAAAATATACAGTCTATGAGACTATGACACATTAGTCAACACTCAACACCTAGAGTCTTCAGTCATCATCATCATCGTCATCATCATCATCAGAAGGAATAGGGTAAGCTTCATCATATGCATCAGAATCGATGCCATCATCATCAGAGTCATCTCCCTCTTCAATATAACGCTCGTCTTACTCTGTTTCTTCTGAATCTACATCTTCCTCCTCTTCTTCAGCTTCTTCTTACTAGTATGTGCAGATGAGGCCCTAGGAGTCTGGGCTGCTCTACACTTTTCTATCTTTTTGTGCTTCCTTGAACTCAAATATTGTATAATTTCCTCCCTGGTAGTGTCATCAACGTTTTTACACGGGACAATATCCTCCTTAATATTGACAAGGTAGTTTTTAAACCGGTAAATGCCCCCATTAGTATCTTTTCCACAATAATTATATTTAATACGATTTTTGTCATTCGGATTTGGGCTATAACCATACTTCCAACTCGGATCACCACTTCTAAAAGAACCTGGAAAAAAAATTTCCATAGAACAAGGCTTATTTTCATCATTTTATGTTTCTTTAAAATTCAGAAGTTGTTTAATCTCATCTCGAATAGCTTCAAGAACTTTTTTACAAGAAGCAACATTCCCTTTAATACCAGCAAGGTGTTTCTTGAATTGGTTAATAGCCCCATTGGTATTTTTTTCACAAAAATTACACTTTATACAATTTTTATCATTTGGTTTTAGGTTATAACGATACTTCCAACCCGGATCACTTCTTCTAAAAGTAGCAGAAAAAGATCTATTCAAATGACAAGGATTTTGATCCTGTTTTTGTTTTACAAAATTCATATATTGCTTAATCTCCTCTCTGAAAGCATTAGGAACATTTCTACAAGGGGCAACATTCCCTTTAATACCGGCAAGATGTTTCTTAGACCGGTTTATACCCCTTTTTGTATCTTTTTCACAAAAATTGCATCTAATTTAAATTTTTGTCATTTGTGTTCGGGTTACATCCATATTTCTAACCTAGATCTCCACTTCGACTAGATCCTAAATAAGTCGTATCAAAACAAAACAAGCAATCTAAAAAATAAAGTTTTGCACTACTTTGATTGCTCAAACTCCAAACTCCCACATTTGAGATGTTTTCTGATGCTAAAATAATAAAAAACACCCTCTAATAGAATTATAAAACTCCAAAACTAAATCAAATCTACTTGGGTGATGTTTGGATCCGTTTTCCGTAACTTTAAGAAATACTTCGATCCAATGAAAGTCAGAAAAAGATGCTTTCTTGATGTTTTTTTCTCTCTAAAATGGGTTATTGTGGGTTTAGGTTTCAAATGAACCTAAAACCCATCCTTTGAAACCCTTTATATTTACAAAAAATCAATAAAAATGAAAAAAAAAAAGTTCTGCTCATAGGCAGGCGATGCGTCCAGGCCTTCTGGACTGCCTAGGAGCTGGGCGGTTCGTTTTTTTTAACACTACCGTTGAGTGATATCATCCTTCTCCTAATATTGAATCTATCTTTAATCTACACTCACAATAGTCTTTCACACCCCCTCTTCTACCTTTCTTCCTCTCACTTGCAATTAAGCCTTCATTGCTGGTTAGAGAAGGTCACCACCTATTACGGCATCACCGATAGTTAAGTTGTCACCGTTCGTCAAAGTGTCTCCAGCAGTCAAGGTCCCACCAACTATCAAGGTGTCATTGGCATTCAAGGTCCCACTGGTTATTAAGGTGTCATCAGTGGTCAAGATCCTACTAGCTATTAAGGTGTCACCATCAGTCAAGGTGGGTTGTCAGCTGTCAAAGTGGTTCACCAGTGGTCAAGATGGTGACCGATGGTCAAGACCTTTGTGTAATGGCCACTCACCAACGGTCTTCAATAGACAGTGCATCCTAAACACTCCATTTGATGTCGCTCAAAGGGATTTGGCTTACTTAGAGATTTTTTCATTGCTCATCCTATGACCACTGCGTCTCACTTCATTGACAAATGGTGATTAACGATGACGGGCGATGGATTGGATTCAAGGGAAAAACTTACACTCTGATTTCACTTTGTTATGCTTACATGTTCGAGCCCTCTTGCAAAAATGCCAATGTGTACAGCAGAATCCCTACTTTTATAGGAAAAAACAGTTAATACTCTGTATATGTGTATGAGTGGGAAAAAAATGCAACAAAGCAAATAAATAAATAAATAAATCAAGCATTGTACAGAAGAATTATATGATTCACATTAGGTTACGTCCATAAGAGAAAGAGATGGAAATCCACTAAAAATAATGGAGTACAACTTTCTTCCAAGAGACAAGCTCTCTTTTGGGCTACAAGTCTCTCAGACACCTTCTACATTCTTCTCTCCCTAGGTTTTTCTTCTCTCGGGCTCTTTCTTTCCATGAGGCTCCCTATATGTAATAGGGTATCACTTTCTTAGATACGTGTCTATCTAAGAGGCTTCTTTCATATTTTGGAGGCTTCTTCTCTCTCGTAAAAAGAAAAGGATCTCACCATACAACTCTATCTCTCTCAGTTTCCCTCTCTTCTCTCTCACCAAAGATGAACAACTTAAAAGAAAGCCTAAACCATCATGTGGGCCTTTCATAGGCCTTCCAATGATTTACCTCGCAAGTCATTGGGTAAAATCCCAAAACTACCCCTCCACAATGGAGCAATGTCATGGAGGGCCCTCCCACATGGGAAGGAATTTTCCCAATAAGTAAATGCTGGCTGTCATGATATGTCAATCTAAGCCATCCGGCTAGTACTATTCTATAGGCGGCCTGGGTCATGAATCTTTATCCAAATTTAATTATTTGTTTCTTCTTTACACTCCGGCTTTCCTTTTGCTTCGAGCGGGTGAAAATCATGGGAATTCTAAGACAGTATTATTTAAGTTCTTGTTTATATATAAAATAGACACCAACCACCCTGATGGTGTATTGGAGATTAAACTACCTCTACCTCACTCTCTTCAGTTGTAAATACCTCATTCAGAATCAGCAGTAAATCTAAGGGAAAAACAACTCTCAAATTATCGTTATCTTAATAAAAAACTACGTGAATTTCCTAATGGACTGAATGCAGAGGAGCTTAATTTTCCACAGAAATTTGAAACCAGTTGTTTTTCATTTTCCAGGCTGCAGCACTTGAAGGACAGAAGACCAGTGTAGTTACAGATTACATATTGAAGGTACATACTACTACATCCCTTGCAAGCTATTCTTCTTTGAAGCCTACACAAACAGATAACTGATGCTCTCTCTGTCTCTCTCTCTCTAAGTACAGATATTAGGCTTGGATGTATGTGCGGACACCATGGTAGGGAATGCAATGCTGAGAGGAATATCAGGAGGCCAGAAGAAAAGGGTAACAACAGGTGAGAGAAATGACAATGGGAAATGCTAATTTGCTTTCGGAAATTCAGAATTCTCTTTCCAAGAGATGCCCCAATTTTCAAAATGTTGGACTAAATGGAACCATTATTTCAAGTTTTAGCAGAAAAACAATGCATCAAATTCATTTCTAAATTGAAACATCAAACTCAGCATCACTCAGTTAGCAAAAGTTGCCTGAATTTTGATTAATATGACCTCTGCTACTTCCAATTTCCAAAAGGAAAGGCCCTAAAGATATTTTCCTTCACTATTAGTTTTCTTTTCTCTAGTTGTAAAAGAGCTTTTATTCAGATTACCTCTGATAAATTGAAAGAGAAGAAATTTCGACAATTAGTTGTGACTACAGCTTTATCTTAATTTTGACAGGGGAGATGCTTGTTGGGCCTTCTAGGGCTCTCTTCATGGATGAGATATCCACTGGTCTAGACAGTGCCACTACTTACCGAATAGTGAACTCCATAAGGCAAACAGTTCATATACTCCATTCGACGACTGTCATATCCCTGTTGCAACCAGCTCCTGAGACCTACAATCTTTTCGATGATATAATTCTTCTCTCTGATGGTCAGATCGTGTATCAGGGCCCTCGTGAATATGTGTTGGAGTTTTTTGAATCAATGGGATTCAGATGCCCTCAGAGGAAAGGAGTTGCTGACTTCTTGCAAGAGGTGGGTGCGCTCAACTTGTCTCAATTATTTGAAATTGGATCACACTTTTGAACAGTTAAACTTTGAGCATATAGGTTTCCAACCGTTTCACTAATGATGACTTTGGGAAGCATAGGGATATAGAAGTCTTAAAATTTTTAAATTCAGAAAGTACTAATTTGAGCATATTGATTTTCCAGAAAATTTATTCCAAGAAATTATGAGAAGCTTAAGCATGAAAAATTCTTCAAAAGTTGAATAAAATACTTTAGATCACTCCACTTCGAGAAAACAATTCTTCTAATACCTGAACCTTAATCAGAGTCTAAATAACCAAATAGCATTCATTCTTGTAAGAACCTCACTTCATCATATAACAGCACGCCTGAAGTGGATATGCCTATGACTTACCAGGTTACATCAAGGAAAGATCAGGGACAGTATTGGTTTCGCAGTAATGAGCCTTACAGATTTGTTCCTGTCAAGGAATTTGCAGAAGCGACCCAATCATTTCATGTTGGAAGAAGAATAGGAGATGAATTGGCCACCCCATTTGACAAGAGAAAGAGTCACCCTGCTGCCCTTACAACTTCCCAATATGGTGTCAACAAGTTGGAACTTTTGAAAGCATGCTTCTCGAGGGAGCTGTTATTGATGAAGAGGAACTCGTTTGTCTATATCTTCAAATGTATGCAAGTGAGTAACTGGAATGTTTTGTTGGTCATCTCGCCAGGTCTTTTAGGCAAATGTTTTGGTCTGCCACCCAAAAGCGCATAACAAGAAATAAAAATGCCCCACTTTTCAACCACCAAGTTTACAACATCCCAGAATTTCTTTTTTTTTTAAAAAAAAGAAAATATAACTCGCTTCATATTCTGAGGTTTCCCCCCCTTTTCTGAACCTTGCCCTTCAACTCTCGAAAAGCAGGGCAATGATTAAAGGTAAGATTAAGTTTACCATTTATAAAATATGAAGAGAATAACATAATGTCACATAAATGTCACTTAAAAAGATTAAGTAAAAACTAAAGGTTTTCATTCCTTTCATTTTCCAAGGAATTTCTAGTTCGTTGCAAACTTTTATTTTTGTTAGAAATTTTGCCAATAATTTCACCATGAAAACCAAATTTTTGGGGTCTCCTGAGACATTAAAAACTGAAGTTTTCCATTCCTTCCATTTTCCTAGGCATTTGTAGTTCGTTGCAGGTTTTTATTTTCTTTAGAAATTTTTCTGATAATTTCACCATGAAAACAAAATTTTTGGGGTCTCCTGACACATTATCTCCTCTATAGTTGCAGCATAACTAGTAGTTCCAGTTTGAAGTATGATTCCTTTGTTGCTTGTAGCTTACAATAGTCGCATTCATCACGATTACTATGTTCTTCCGCACTGAAATGCACCGAAACACAGTCGGAGATGGAAGCATCTATCTGGGAGCCTTGTTTTTTGGGCTCACTACTGTCATGTTCAATGCATTTGCTGAACTCCCCTTGACCATTTCAAAGCTTCCAGTCTTCTATAAACAACGGGATCTTCTCTTCTTCCCTGCATGGACCTTTGCACTACCAACATGGATTACCAATATCCCAGTATCAGTCTTGGAAGCCAGTGTATGGGTTTTCATAACTTACTATGGTGTGGGCTATGACCCAAATGCTGGCAGGTAAGAAGTCCTCTATACTAACTTTGGAACTTTTTAATTATTCTACTTGAGTAATTTTAAAATGCAAAAAGTAGAGGATAATGCAATTATGTATGGTATGTGGCGGATATCAAACCAGGGTTGACGTCACTCTTGGTTCCATTTCACTGTCAGCCACCAAAAATGAGCAGTGGATATACCTTTGGAGAATTCTATGCCATACTTCAAAGGATAATCATATACTTTCTAATTATCAAATGCAATATAAATAGTGTTATTTATGCACAAATAGGAATATTTCAGTTATTTGATGAAGTAATCAAAAGAAATGTGCTGTAATACGAGGAAAATACAGAGAGATGCATGAATTAATTACCATAAGGAACTGCAGACACATTTCGCAACCAAACCTAGCAAATAATTATAGATATCATCAATTTGGCTAGTTAGCGGCAGAGATTCCATTCTAGTGCGCAAACTAAGGAAAAATCCTGTCATAGGCATCCTAGGAACAATTTACCACAGTACCCACAAACAGCCTAAATAGCAAACTTATACCCATGGGACCCAGAAAGCAGACTTTTGGGTCACAAAATGGTAACTTATTGAAAACCAACCAAATTATATCAAATCTTATACCATTCTCTAGGACATTTCATATCCTTTGCTATTGTCAAGAATCTTGCCAATTCAAGCTATTGCTGAAGATTATTGACCTTTTACTAGGGATGGCAATGAGTAAGGCGGCCTGGGCAGACCCCACTAGCATGGCCCAGCATAAACAAGGCTCAGACTGGCTCGGAGTCTTATTAGGGTAGACTCAGCCAGGGCATTTCATGGCCCGGCCACATGTAATATAATAGCCTGACCCCAGCATACTTTGACTGGATCCTCCCAGCAGTCTAGGCTAGACTGGGCTAGGCCAGGCCTAGCCCTACCCATTTCCAACCTAACTCTTGTTAGTAGTGAAAAGTATTAGTTAGTATTTTGAAATAATATCTCTTTTGTTCCATAGTATTTTGGAAAAGCAATGTATTGAAAAATGTGTTTAGTTTTTTGTATAGAGTGAGAAGTGATAGGTTTCTTTGTCCCACATCAAAGAATGGAGTGAAGAAAGATTGGTATTTATATGGGAACGCTCTCATACCTTATGTTCATGGAACAAAGGGGAGAAAGTGGTACTTGTGCAGAGCATGTGAAGCGCGCGATGCACAAGCACACACACAAGTACAATTCCCATTTCAGAAAACAACTTGGAACTGGTTTGCTAAAACTCTCCACCGTTTCTCTTGTCTTTGTCTCTCTAAAAAGTGTCCACTTTCTCTCTCTACTTGAGGCCACTCTGGTGCTCCGTAGGCTTGCCTGTTGTGTGCAATAACAAGCAAGTACATGCTTGACCTTCTGTTTGAAGATATCCTGAGTACTGTTTTGCTCGGTGAACTTTATGCACACTGTAATTTGACAGTACAAGGGCAAAATACAGTCTTGAGAGAGTGTTTTAAGCATGGCTGAAAACAGGAAGGTCACTTCCTTTTACTTTTGCTTTCAAATTTTTTCCTTATCGGTTACTTCAGCCCCCATTTCACCCACAAATTTTTCAAACTCTTAACTAGAAAATTGCTAGAGTGATACAGACTCGCCATCTGAAGCCCTCCATATAATGTCCAGGAAAAATAGGATAAGGAATACACGTTCCACCTTGAATGAACTTATTGGGAACATTCTAGTTATCAGTCATACAGAGCACCTTCTGCTATACCCAACCATTAAGAGGTGGTTCATTATTCAGAAGATTGGAGTGATGGCTCGAGAGTATTGTACCATGAGCCATTTTCTTTCCTCTTAATTTATTTGGGAATAGAGCCTCCACCCTTGTAGCATAAGTATTACAACATAGTACTGATCTAAGACCTTGTGAAGAAAGGGAGGAATGTAGTCCCAATTACATTAACATTTAATAAAATGCAAAAACTAGAGAGATGGGTATCACAAAACATAAACTTCTTCAGCCTAGATGTGTAACATAAATTACAAATTAGAAAGATAAACATAAAACAGAAATATACAAATTAAAGATGACAATTGAATGCTTGACATGCAGGATGTTTCGGCAATACCTGCTACTTGTTATGGTAAACCAGGCAGCTTCGGGTCTTTTCCGGTTGATAGCGTCACTAGGTCGAGACATGGTTGTAGCAAACACAATAGGGTCCTTCACTCTTCTTCTTTGCATGGTGCTTGGAGGATTTGTTATCTCACGAGGTAAATTGCCAAAATGAAATCAGTTTTGCAACCTTTGCCTCTTTTTACTTCACTCAAGAAATAGGTGATCACTAAAGAAAAAGTGTAATGCAATCAAATGGGCCATGAAACACATGGTCCATTGGTGTATACTAAATTTGATCCATGGGCCTGAGCCTCCTCTTTGTTGTCATCAACAGACCACGTGAAGAAGTGGTGGATATGGGGCTACTGGATGTCCCCCATGATGTATGGACAGAATGCAATGGCAGTGAATGAATTCCTAGGGAGAAGTTGGCAGAAAGTGAGATTCTCCCTCTAAACACTTCTATTTGCATGTGCATACCCTTTGTGAAATTGATATTTCACCTTTGAAAAAAATTTCTAGGTACCTAATGGATCATCATTATCACTGGGAATGCAAGTGTTGAAGAACCGGGGACTGTTTATGGAAGGCTACTGGTATTGGATTGGGATAGGTGCATTGGCTGGTTACACGATCCTCTTCAATGGCCTCTTCACCTTGGCTCTCACATATCTCGAACGTGAGTGAACCGATCAATTCCAAGTATGTTTTTTTTAGCTAAGGACCTCATCTCAGCACTAATTGGCTTAATCATATGCAGCAATCGGTAAATCCCAAGTAAACATAACTGAAGAAGAACTGCAAGAGAAGCATATGAATAGGACCGGTGAAAATGTCACTTTGAAATGCTCATCTGTGCCGCCTTCAAGAAGAAGGGCCTTTACTGAAAGTATGCTTTAGCCATTTTCTAAATTGTTATTGTTGCCCATCGATTCATCTAACTATAACTCATGTTAGTTGCAGGAAGGACAGATGAAATCATGTCATCTGATTCAATGCCGGCTCAGTCAGATTGCATGGCTTCAGGTCCAGAGGGGAAGAGAGGCATGGTTCTTCCATTTACTCCACTCTCACTCTCCTTTGACAATATCAGATACTCAGTGGACATGCCAAAGGTAAAGCCTCTGCTCTCAAATGCGCAGTCCTCTCTCTCTCTCTCTCTCTTCTCATCACAACAAAACAAAATGACCATCTTTATCAAAATGGAATGAATGCCAACCAAGATCTTTCGTAGCACAATCGGTTTCACTTCTTTTCTTCATCAAACTTTTTATCTTCTTTTGTAGGAAATGAAAGCTGAAGGTGTGACACAAGAGAGGCTAGAACTCCTCAAGGGTGTAAGTGGGGCGTTTAGACCAGGAGTTCTAACTGCTTTGATGGGTGTTAGTGGAGCGGGCAAAACAACATTGATGGATGTTTTAGCTGGAAGGAAAACTGGTGGTCATATTGATGGAACTATCTATATATCTGGTTTTCCCAAGAAGCAAGAGACCTTTGCTCGGGTATCTGGGTACTGTGAGCAAAATGATATCCATTCTCCCCTAGTGACTGTTTATGAGTCTCTTCTGTACTCAGCATGGCTTCGGCTTCCTACTGAGGTCAACTCCAAAAGAAGAAAGGTTAAAAACCAAAGTAGTCTACCATTCATTTTCTTTTCACAATGTCAAATGTTAATGCTTTCTCTCTCACTTTTCCACTCTCACTCTGTTTCATGTGTGTGTGTGTGAGCTACTCTCCTTAAAACACGGCAAACACAACACTGAATAAGCTTCAGAAAATGGCACATCATATATATCAGATAGATATATAGCTCATACAACCAAGATAAGCGTTATTGCAGATGTTTATTGGGGAGGTAATGGAGCTCGTAGAGATGAAATCATTAAGAAATGCTCTTGTGGGGTTGCCCGGTGTGAATGGGCTCTCGACTGAACAAAGAAAGAGACTCACCATTGCTGTGGAACTTGTGGCCAATCCCTCCATAATTTTCATGGATGAGCCAACCTCTGGTCTAGATGCTAGGGCTGCTGCCATTGTGATGAGAACAGTTAGGAATACTGTTGATACTGGAAGAACTGTAGTGTGCACTATCCACCAGCCTAGCATTGATATATTTGAGGCCTTTGATGAGGTGAGAATCAAGACTATTTGAGTGGGCTTTTCACTGATAAAAGAAATTTAAATGTCCTTTTTCCTGTTATTTCATAAGATGGATGAGATTGACATTAATACCCTGTATGCGATTGGATTCCAGCTATTCCTCATGAAGAGGGGTGGTGAGGCAATATATGTTGGCCCCCTCGGATCCCATTCTTGCCATCTCATTGAGTACTTTCAGGTTAGTCGAATAAAATAACAATTACTAAAAATAATTCATGTAATACTCACAAACATGCACAGAAACATGCTACACATATATGAATACTGGCAAACACCATTACCTCTCATTTGAGCAATTTGTGGTGAAGGGAATCAATGGAGTCAGCACAATAGAAGAAGGCTACAATCCTGCAACATGGATGTTTGAGGCCACATCCGAGGCACAAGAAGATATTTTAGGAGTTGATTTTGCTGAAATATACATAAGTTCCAATTTGCATAGGTAAATATATAAACCCCATTAATCACTTTCTGCTTTGTTCTTTTGATAGAACTGCACACTTTTTCTTCTTTACAATAAGAGGATTTTCCTTTCCTGGGATTGATTATACATGGGAAACTATAATTTCGCCTCAAAATATGACACTTTAACAGGAGAAGCAAAGAAATGATCAAAGAACTGAGCTCACCACCCCCAGGCTCAAAAGACCTCTTCTTCACTATGCAGTATGCTCAGCCATTCCTCACTCAATGCTTGGCTTGCTTATGGAAACAGCACTGGTCATATTGGCGAAACCCCCCTTATACAGCTGTACGATTATTATTCACCTTTTTCATAGCATTGCTATTTGGGACCATATTTTGGGGTCTTGGTTCAAAAAGGTATGAATTCCTTCTCAAAATGGGAGCTTGATGTCACACACATACACACAGAGATTTCTGGAATTTCCATCTATCGGTTTGTACAATGTATTTCCCAGGGATAACCAGCAGGATCTCTTCAATGCCATGGGTTCCATGTATGCTGCTGTTATGTTCATTGGCGTTAGTAATGCCTCCACAGTTCAGCCAGTTGTAGCAGTCGAGAGAACTGTATTCTATCGAGAAAGGGCAACTGGAATGTATTCGGCTTTACCATATGCTTTTGCACAGGTGAGCAAATTTAAGTCATAAAACAAACAAAAACTTTCTAATGAGTTCAAGGAAACATAGAGAAGTTTCAAAAAATGTATCCCAGTCTTCATTAGGCTGAAACCACTCAACTCAGTTCCATCTTACACTTATAAGTAAATCATATCATAGACAAGCAGCACTTATTTTCTCATAGATAAGGTTTTCATAAACAATAAATGGTGCAATTGAACTTACTTTCTCACAATATTTGCACATTATATGCATCTAGACATCATTTAGTTGTAGATAGAATTTACTTTACAATACAGATTTGTAAATAACGTATGCTGCAATGTATGCACTAAAAAACCTATATAACTTGGAAAATTGTCTATGGTATTCGATATATATCAGAGCATGAAGGACAAGATGCATATGTTTAGACTCAAGAAAGTCAGACAAGCAGTTTATCTGATTGTTCTTGCAATGTCTATACAGAAGTAACTTAATTTCAGTTAAAGTCCTACCTTCGCACCCCCTGTAAATGATGTGCCGTCATATGCCTGTGACTGAAGAGCCAATTTCAGTGTTTCTGACAGTCATATGTGCCTCAGACACTAACAAATGTGTCGCTATCTTTGAAACATTAACTAAAACACTTTATATGCAGGTTGCTATAGAGATTCCCTATGTATTGATTCAGGCACTGCTCTATGGGGTGATAGTGTATGCAATGATTGCATTTGAATGGACAGCTGCAAAGTTCTTCTGGTACCTGTTCTTTATGTTCTTCACACTTTTATACTTCACATACTATGGCATGATGGCTGTTGCCATGACTCCCAACCAGAACATTGCATCCATTATGGCTGGAACCTTCTATGGAGTTTGGAACCTCTTCTCTGGCTTCATGATTCCTAGACCGGTATGTCCTGAGCCATTTCGCTTCATTTTTTATCCGTGTTTAAAAACCATTTCTACTCAGGCTAGTACTTGAAAGCTTTGTTACTAGTAATACTTTGTTCTATTACTAGCATTTTCCAGAATTGCATAGCCTTAACCCAAGAACACAAGCAAAGGAAGTATCAACTTGCTAAATGATTTATTAGGTCAACCTAACACAGTGATAATTTGGCAAGTGAATTGGTTCACTGGGGCGATTGGATTGAGTTGGTGAACATATCTAAAATTGAGTAGTTGGGTTGAAGTGAATTATACGAGTAATTTAGTGAATCTAATATCTATCAGATGTACGTTAGCTGATTACCTAACGCAACCGGCCTCATTCACCGGGGCTCAGGACAAGTTAACGCAACCGGCCTCATTCACCTGGGTTCAGGACAAGTTAAAAGCGAAAGTTTAAGATCCTCACTCTTCCAAGAGCAAACGAGAAAAGACGGACTTTTGGACCTACCCAGAAAAATTGATTATAACTAAATTAACTAGGAAGAAGTACACATTCATCTTGAAAGTGTGAGAGACCGTTTTGACACAAAATCCAAGTAGAAAGCTTGACTTAGCTGACATAGTCTCTGCAATATGAAATGAGTTTAAAATGGAATTTATTTTTTTGTGGGGCAGACCATATAGACTCATATAACCACATGAAGCAATCCAAATCAAACACAAAAAACAATCCATCACAAGTTTTCACCACTCTTAACTTGATAACAGTTGCCTCTCTCTCTCTCTCACAATTCTGATTATCCATTTGATTGCAGAGTATACCTCGATGGTGGAGATGGTATTCATGGGCATGCCCAGTTGCATGGACATTGTATGGCCTGGTTACTTCTCAATTCGGAGACGTTCATACCAATTTAGAGGTTGTAGATTCCACCACTACGACCCAAACAGTGGCCGCATTTGTGAGTGACTATTTCGGATTCGAGCACGATTTCTTGGGAGTGGTTGCAGCTGTGATCGTTGGGTTCCCAGTGCTTTTTGCTTTCATCTTTGCTTTCTCGATCAAGTTTCTGAATTTCCAAAAAAGATGAGATTTTGGCGATAGTCCACAGGAGAAACAAATCATCTAATAGAGGCCAACAACCCAAATGAGAAGAGAATCATTTCATCTCACAAGGGTTTCTGACAAATTGAATTGCTTGAGAGAAGTTGCCCGAATAAGATGACCTACTGTTAGTGTACAAACCTTTGGATGTATTTTGTAATGAAAACTTGGCTTTCTAATGAGTTCATGACGGTTGTTCTTGATGTATAGTTCCATACATATAAATCAATCACTGATCTCTCAAATTTCCAGCGATACATAGAGGAAAATTTTTGAACGAAAAGTTCGCGCTCCTAGAAATTTTAATGTCAATTTAAATTATTTCTTGGTAAATAAATGGGAATATTATAGATACCTCTAAAATGAATTTTATAGACATCCTATTTTCCAATATTTTTAGTATCACACCAAGTTGAAGTGGATCTAAATTGGGAGATTGGTCCTCTAGACCCAACATTGTTTTATCTTGTATTACACCTCTAACAAATTGATCCGGCTATGTTTATTGTTGTTGTTATTATTGTTGTTGTTATTATTGTTATTGTTATAGTTATAATCAGTGTTTTAAAAAACGTCGAGTCGAACCGGACTCGCCCGGTTCGACTCGAAAATCCCAAAAGTGGATCGAATCGGTTGAAAAATCGAAAATCGTCCGGTTCTAGAGAGAACCGGACGATTCTGTACAGTGACTCGTCGATTCACTGTACGGAATCGGCGAGTCGAAACAATGAATCGGCGAGTCCGTACGGTTTTTTTTTTTTTTTTGTAATCCATGATCGAATTGTTTTTGTTTTTTGTAATCCATGATCGAATTTTTTGTTTTTTTGTAACCCATGATAGAATTTTTTGTAATCCATGATCGAATTTTTTGTAATCCATGATCGAAATGTTTGTTTTTTTCTTGTAATCCATGATATAATTTTTTGTTTT